TTTTTAATAAATCACCTAAATGATAACTCAATTTTCGTTGAGATTGTTCTTTTGTCACTGTCACTGGTAATAATTTTCCTAAATGTTGAATCGATTCTTTTTCACTCTCTTGTTCTTCTGAAATAAAGTGAATTGTTTTATCATCTTCTTCTTGTTGCTGTGGATCAAAATCATCTCCATTCGTGTCGAATAGACAGTTTTGTGAGCTGGATCAGATTGAACGTCGGTAGGACGATGAAATTCATTCACAATTACACTTCCAGCTGAGTAACAACAGACACTATCTTGCATTGCGGAGGTCTATTGGTATAGTAGTATTGTGGTATATCGGTCTAGGATATAGGAAGAGTTCACTCCGACTTAAACGCATCAGCCATGTCAACCTTCTACGCTCAGCATGACCGTCGCTACATCAAGCTTTCGCCCTCACCCTCGCCAAGACTTTCCGGAAAACCTACTTTCTGTTGATTTTCAGTTCAAACTAGGCGATGCCTAGTTGGGTGCAGTCCAGCTACATGACCCCATCCCTCAATTTCTTTTCTCGTTCGTTTGTACAAACTCGATTTCTATTGGTCACTTGTCGACCAAAAGAACTTCGAGCCAAACGTACTCCAAACTCATGATCTTCGACCTGAAAAACCTCCTGCTGACCGTTTTCTGAAAATTCGATTTTTATTGGTCCATAACCGACCAATAGCATTTCCTGTTGAACAGAGCCAGGTACATGATCCCCGGCCAAGAAAAACCCTTTCTGAGTATTCTCTGAAAAATTCATTCTCATTGGTCAGTAACCGACCAATGTGGGATTTCAAGATAGCGAGAAATTGATAGTGCCATTGGATTCCTCGACCCCGATTACCCTTCGGTCAACCCTTCTACGATTTCAAGGGTTTCTCCCGGTGACCCTCCCCAGTGCGAGAAAATCGAGTGAGAGGTGTCGAGAAACTGATGGTGCCATTGAATAGGAAATGTGTGCTCACTCATGTTCTTTTGACCTGACGCAAACAGACAGACAGACAAACTTTTTTTTTCATAGGACCCTCCCTTCAGTCGAGGGGACATGTTTCTGGCGAACGCGATTTTCATTGATTCCCGGCCAACCAATGGGTTTCAAGATAAACGGACCTCAGATTCGAGTTCTTCACATCGAATTACCTTTCGTACCATCGTTACGCCTCGCATTTAGTATCCTTGCCGTTAATGTTCTTTTGAGTCTGGCACAAACCCACAAATCCACAAACTTTTTTTTTTATAGGACCCTCCCTTCAGTCGAGGGAAAAATTCACTCTAAAAAAATTTGAAGACACTGATTCGTGATCAGCTCGTCGAGTTCTATGCAACCTTGCATAAGAGAGCGATAAAAATTGGCCACTCGAATTGTGCATTGGCTGAACATTACATTGAAGGAGTGAAATAATGCTATATTCGACCTATTGTCATAGAAACTTTTGTCACCTCCTGGTGGAATATAACAAAACAAAATAAACCAAAAGATGCGCCGTGAGCAGGGCTACAACATATCAAAAATTCAGTTTGGGATCTCTTACATACATTGATAGTAGATTCGGCCATGATACTGAAAAATGACGACTACAATTGCTTCCTCATTTTGTTCAAATTTGACTCCTATGTCATAGAAAATGACATTCAGAGATTCATAGTAGGCTACGTTGTAGAGAAAGCAATTCTCTATCGTTTGATAGGTTTCACGCCTCTAACGGTCGAAGGATGGGGAGAAAATCGAGAAATACGACCAGAGTTCAAAAAATCGACTTTTCGAGAAGGATCCAAATTTCGAAAAAATGAGGTCCCTGCCATTTCTCATAGGTAAGCTAGAATGAGCTGTATTTTGGTTTTCATAATAAATTCTTATAGGCTTTCGAATGAGACAATTAAATTCAAAATCTAAAATTTTTCCGCCGCCACCCTCCTCTTGTGTTCGTCGGTATTCTGGCGGACCCGCTCTTAAACGTTGTTCAGTCCAGTTGAAAGTAATATACTTCTAACGAACTTTCCAACTTCCATCGAACGTTCTACAAGCGAACAACGACAAAAAAACCTCCTCGAATGTGACATTAGGAACATCTTACAACAGAGATAAAATCAAATTAAAACTTCTATTTGCATGTAATAATTGCATCGAGATATGTGTCTGTTTGTTTACATTTAATAATCGCGTTCATTATGTGAGTGTACAATAAAAAAACAAACGAACGAAAAAAGTAACTGCCTTTTTCAAGTTAATATGAAGATTGTTACACATAAACAATAAGATAAATATAACACTTTTCTCCATCATACTCAACTTTTTCAATTGTGTATTCAACACCAGCTTTTAATAGTACTTCTTCCTCATCTGGAAATTGTGAATAACGACTGATATCAACAGCTTTCTTTTCTTTTTGGTGTAGCTTTCTCAGATACATAATAAAAAGCGTATTATTACCAAAAAATTCAGCCACATCTCTACATCTACTTGTAGAACTAAAACCAGCCCATCGATATGATTCCCCACGTTTCGCCGCTTCTTTATAATCCTCTATGATAGGCTGTGATAATTGCATTCCACGATAAACGTTAATACTATGAATTTCAATTGACGATGAATGATCAAAATACCAATGAAGTAGACGAACAAATGGTGCGTACGTTTCAACCTCTGCCTCATCTGCCTCACGTAAAAATCGATTGATTTGTGAATAGAGAAACGTGTTCATTGTATAAAGATGTATACATCCTTGACCCACTTCTTCAGGAGTTCTATAAATCAGTTTCGTTAATTGCAAACTCAGCATTGAATCCTTCTCGTTGCCCAGAATTTTATCGATTCCTTCTACCTCTAATATTTCAGTTAATCCGTGGACCAATATTTCACATTTCTCTTTCCAATATTTCAATTCTTCTATCTCCAGTAGTTTGGGTAATAATGTATCGACGAATCTTTTATTCTCTTCCTCTTCTATGCGAAGTTTAGATTTTTTTTCTTGTAATATCACATCCAACAATTCATTGGCCAACATTTTGTATTGTTCTTTCTGGAGTTCATCTTCTTTTATCATCTGTTGAGCAAACGATAATTTATAAATCAGCTCTTTATATTGGGGGTCCTTCCAAAACGTGTCTCTTGGGATCAGCCTCTCATCCACCCATACACATTCTAAATTTAACACATCGTCTACGAAACCCAACTCATCGGTTTGTCTTCCTGTCTTGAATTGCATAGATTTAGTTGTTAACACTTTATATTTTGCGTCCTTCCGTTGTTCGAATGGTTTCTCGTCTTTCGCCATAAACGGTAATTCATTTAACAACGTCTTACTTCTCCGTTCAAAAAAATCTTCTGAATCAAACGTATTATTCTCTGACACTAGCATAGTAGCGGCTTCGAACAGTCCTTTTGGTTGGCTTTTAGTACAAAGTTTACACTCTTTCCTAGATAATACGATAGACAAGAGGACATCGGACAATCTTTCAGATTGCTCCTCATCTTGAAGTTCAAATCCTTCTCTTCTTAATAATTCAGGCAGTAGGGTATCGACCAATTTTTTATGTTCGTCTTTACTCCGAAGTTTAAATGCTGCCATCTGTAATGTCTTCATGAATAAACTAACTTCGTAGTTAAAATCCCGCTTCTGCGTGATATAATAACAATCATCGTTCCAAGGCCTAAGAAACGAAACAAGATATCTACTCCAGAGAAAACGGAAAACTAAGCTGGACGATACACATGACAGTACATGTGTTCGGTGCAGAAAAGATTTACATTTACCTGTTTGTTTGCGTGGGGTAATTTCCACGTGCAAAGCATTTTTCAATAATTGGAAGAGATTGTTTTGATTCTCCATTTTCAAATGTCTTCGATTGTAATGATTCAAAAGTATTAAATCGTTCAGGGCGATAACCTCTACTTGTCTGACTCTTGAAAGCTACTTTCTCATTGACTTCATCCGACAATAATTTCACTGTTGTTACTATGTCGCTATCGTCGCTTAACTCGAAACGAGTCTAAAATATTATTCTCTGTAACAATCCATACAGAATGCAATGTGAGATAGTTTCGAAAGCATCGTTCATACGACAATTTAAACAACTCGAACGGAAAAGTCTTTGCTGCTCAATGCAATCCCTTGAAGAATATCAAACCTAGAAATAATACATTGAACTCACTTCATCTGAGCTCGCCGTCGTTTTAACTAGAGCGTTGTTTGTCATAGCATATCTTCGGGTCCATTCTCTTGCTTCTTTTTTGTACTCCTCTTGACTTTGCCTATATAAAAAAGCAGGCACTGGTGCAATGAAGTCAACAGCGTTTGGACTCGATAATAATGAAACGATGGATAGTAAAGTCGATGGTATAGTCATAGCTGGGCTCCAGGTGTCCTGAAGAATATCTAAACATATTTCACCCTTGGAGCTTATATTTGGATGGAACACTTTTGTTTGAAATGTAACTTTCGGTGGGTGGAACGGAAATTCGTTAGGAATACGTAAATCAAGCTCGAACACACCATTCTCATACGGTGTGCCCACTGGTCCTTGTATTTTAGCTTGCCAATAGGTGAGGTCTTCATTTCCATCAACAATCGAAACGCTCAGAATTTCTTTTACATAGTTTGTGCAAAGGTTCAGTTCCTTTCGTAAGCGCCCCGAGAGAGGGAGTGCAGTATTAAGAGATGCGTCCGTCTAAAACATTACAAAACATGGTATTGGAGTTCATATGCAGATGTCTAATACTCACCAATTTTTGAACTGCCATGTTTCGAACTTGATCTGATCCAACTATTTGGTTGTTAAACAATGAATGATTAACGCTTATATTATTCAACGCTTTAAGTAGTGAATCGAGTTGTGAAGGTGATAGTGTAGAAGTAGTATTTTAATTTTCTCGTTTTGTGCGTATTTAAGGTGCCGGCAATTCAAACGTCGAGTAAGCTTTTCTTTTCGCGTTCTTTTAATATCATTTGATAGAGTCAGAGCAGCTGATCACGGACATCTACTTTTTAGCCGTAGCAAATACTCCCTTCCTGTTGAAAAACACGAAATACTCGACGGAAGCCGTTTTGCGAGAAGAACGCATCTTTCTCGAAATGTGTAAAATATTTTGTTTCATTTATCATTCCAGCTTTTGAAAATATTTTTTTCGGATTCAGCGTCAAAAACTGAGTATGCGGAAGTTCTTACGTTGAATCTAGACCTAGAACTACATTGGATGTGACGCTTCGAATTCCGTCGAATCGACCACCTATATGCCAATTTTGTAAACCTATCTAGTTTTTCTACATAAGTGATGAAGCGGAATATTTCATCTCATTCGACTCACCATATCTTCAGTCACAAAGTTACAGAGCCCTTTTTCTCCTGTTCCTTCCAGTGTTGAGAAAAATCGTTCGTACTGGTACTCTAGGGATTTTGGGTAGTATCCAACCATTTTCGAGCTGCAAAATGACTTCAACGCGAAAAACGGAACCCAGATTCAGAATCAGCACAAAAAACTGAGTCGGATGATGTGTGTTTCATGCCGGTTTGACGATCTTCATTTTTGCTTATTTTTTCAGGCATCGCTCTGGAAATGAGGTTATTGCTTTCAAGCCAAAAAATGAAGATCTGGGCAACGAGAAGGATTCAATGCTGAGTTTGCAATTAACGAAACTGATTTATAGAACTCCTGAAGAAGTGGGTCAAGGATGTATACATCTTAAAAAACTGCAAAAGAAAACGCAATAGCAGATAGATAAAATAAAAAATATATTCTAAAGATCGTTTTATATCGAGCCCACGACAAATCATCGAAAGTATTTTCGTCGAACAACATTTCATTGACGACGTTTCAGCGAAAGATTTTTCATCTCACAGACTTTTCATCGAACGACATTTGGTCGCACTGATGTACTACTGAATTTTCCTACATAAGTGAACGGTAATCACAAAGTAAATAAAAGTACACTGACTGTAAGTAGCTTGAGTTGAAGGACGGTTTAGGAAATGTAAGTTAATTCTTCGACATGTGAATTTATGATGTGTGACATGATAAATGAAACAAAATATTTCACACATTTCGAGAAAGATGCGTTCTTCTCGCAAAACGGCTTCCGTCGAGTATTTCGTGTTTTTCAACAGGAAGGGAGTATTTGCTACGGCTAAAAAGTAGATGTCCGTGATCAGCTGCTCTGACTCTATCAAATGATATTAAAAGAACGCGAAAAGAAAAGCTTACTCGACGTTTGAATTGCCGGCACCTTAAATACGCACAAAACGAGAAAATTAAAATACTACTTCTACACTATCACCTTCACAGGTCGATTCACTACTTAAAGCGTTGAATAATATAACCTTTGTCGTGGGCTCGATATAAAACGATCTTTAGAATATTTTTTTTATTTTATCTGTCTGCTATTGCCTTTTCTTTTTTTTTAATCACAAAGTAAATATAAGTACACTGACTGTAAGTAGCTTGAGTTGAAGGACGGTTTAGGAAATGTAAGGTTCTTGTAATATTACTTCATCTATCTTTTCGTCTTCATCATTTGTTGTGGTTAATAGTGATTATATGTATTATTTCCTTTCATGTCGACGTTTATTTTGAATCCTTTATGAGACCTTTTGGTATAATTGTTGATGCATCTTGAGAAACAAGATCAAACACTCATCTAAAGTAAACATTTTCTATTGATTTTAAGCAAGCATGCATTTAAAACCTTAATCTTTTGTTGGGGGCGTAGCGTAGACATCAAATAAGTTATAAGACTGAGCTTAAATCGCAGCAGAATACTCTAAGCTACCCAGGTCACAAAATCAGATCAAGATATTACACGATCTTGTAAAATCATACGGAAAATCATAGAAACGGATTCATTTTATAAAATGTTATAAAAATCATACAAGAATCTTATAAAATCTGATGAAATCTTACTATAAGATCTTACATCAAGAATCAGTTTCTATGTTTCCTATAGAACCTTACGAAATCAGGCGGAATCGTACAAGCTTCTTTGACCTGGATAATCTCCTACGCATTGGTTTACTTCTGCGCCTCACCTTCATTCCCGACTCGGTAGTCATCAGGCAGAACCGTAAGATCATCCAACATAATTCTGAATACTTCGGTTAAGAGTATCTTCACAGCTATCATCTATTTAATCGGGTGGTAAAAGGATCAAGTGATTGAGTGAATGTAACGCAGATAACGCAGGACCGAGTCGGGAGCGGCATCCCGGATACGAAATTCACCTTCACCCTCAAAATTTAGCGGGTGAAAGGTTGAAAGGGCGCTAAATTTTGAGGTTGAAGGTGAGTTTCGCATCCGATGCTCGAGATTTCGACTTTGCTGGGTGGTGGGGGAGCTCATCAGTGATTATTGAAGAATAATTGTAGGTAGCAGCCCATCTTTCAGTTGATAGCACTACCTCAGTTCTTATTCGCGTCGGTGATTCTCTCTCCCACGTCGTATTCAAATAGATATGCACGATCGTGGACACTTCGTAGATTTGCTAGATGTGGTCTTATTAATTTAAAAAAACTGAGTCTCTTCTGACCTTTCGAAAAAATGTCATGATAAATCGGGCTCATTCATTGAACCCTACACAGTCCTTTGAGCAACGGTCTCCTTTAGAGAGGAGACAAAAGATCGGTAAACTAGAATATGGAAAAGAGAATGTACTATGCAACGCAAAATACTGTTATGTGGGTTCCTCTGCGAAACTTCATTTCTATGGAAATCATGAAAACAATATTTCTCTGCTTCAAGTACTTTGTATACTAGGAAGCGGTCGCTGGCTAGTCCAGTTGGCACCGCTGTCGACGATAATTTCAATCTCTACATAGGTGATCAGGATGGTAAATCAGTGGAATCGGTAGCACTAGGTTCAACGAGTCTTGTTACGGTGATTAACACTGCGGCTGTCATTACTAAATTGTCGGCGCTTTCATTTTCGAAAGGCGTTTCAGATGGACTCTTGATGAGTGATGGGGATTGGCGGAAAACGTCGAAAAACAAGATGTTGAAAAGGTAAAATACCGAAAAAGAAGATATCTAGGGTGATGGTGTGACTGGATATGAGTGAGAGTGAGGGCGATAGCTCAACGAATATTTCTTTCTTTTGGATTTTTCCTTGTGGTATTTTACTTTTTCGATATTTTGACTTTCGGTGTTTAACACCAAACCCGAGTGGTGCAGATAAAAACGAAGTTTACTCTTGGAAATTCAATACAACTTTGTCAAGCGTGACCTATAAGAACGTCATTGGTAGTCCTAATAAACACGTAACGCGCGTCGCTACGACCCGCCTGACCCTCGACTGAACGTTCTGAAATCACATTTCAGTATAAGCTTTTCTCCTAAGTCACTTAATCGAAACAGATGAAAAGAATACAGCACACTTATGAGGCCCTCGCTGTCTATGGTAATGACTATGAACTTCAATCGTCTGCGAACACATCTCCATTACCTATGAGAACTCATTTGAATATTTCAGACATAAGATAGAGAGCCATTTAGTCACAATAACAATACGCATCGACACTTGTTCATTCGAAGCTGTTCTAAAAATAACTGAGCTTCGAATGAATGCAGTCAATTCTAACGTCGGTCTCCCAAAAGTCACTCATCAGTCAATGATCCCTGATGAGAATTGGTCACTGAGATAGGGATCGTATATACTGATTTTATTTTCGCCCTCGGAGGAGCCACTAGTGCATCGAGAGCGCATCGAATTTAACACACAGGTCATCCACACGACCTAAACTGCACTCTCCACTATTGCATATTATTATTCCAAGGAAATTGCGATATCATCTCCAATCTGAACGCTGTTCTTATTTTTCTTTCTCTGATGAACTGATTCGATGATCATGCTCGAACTTCGAGCATGATCATCGAATCAGTTCATCATAGATGTTAAAGATTAAGGTTTTAAATGCATGCTTGCTTAAAATCAATAGAAACTGTTTACTTTAGATGAGTGTTTGATCTTGTTTCTCGAGATGCATCAACAATTATACCAAAAGGTCTCATAAAGGATTCAAAATAAACGTCGACATGAAAGGAAATAATACATATAATCACTATTAACCACAACAAATGATGAAGACGAAAAGATAGA